GAAAATCTAGACATGGGTTCTGCTGTACCTTACTTCTACTTACACGGTCACAAGTTAGTGACCAGAGAAGTAGTCGGATCTTATGTAATGTATTATAACTCGAAAGACTGTGACAACGCAACTCGAAAACCTTATACAGATTTAAGAACTGAAACAAAGATGGTATAGAGAAATACGTTTCGCAGAAATATGCATTTTTTATTTAGGGATACTGTAAAATATTTCAAAAAATGTATTTTTAAGATTTATTTGCTGGTATTTCCCTTTATTAACAGTATCTATAAAATGACGTCATTATGATTCATCTGGTGATATGCTCTCTCTCTCTCTCTCTCTCTCTCTACTAGAATAAAATTATTGCAGAAGAAAGCGTACAAGATAATACAGTTCATAAAGCTTTATTTTCGAATTAAAAACATTGTAAGGTAATGTTTTTAAAAAACAATCCAAAAAGCACATAGTATATCATTTCAAATATCTTTTTAAATGTGCCATGAAAACGCAAGTGAAAATTTATGCTTAAAACTTATACCGTCATTAAACGTATTTTTTTTTTTACTTTCATGTCACTTTATCATTTAAAGTATCCTTTAAAATGCAATGAAACTGCTCATGGTAAAATATACTAAACTTTCCATATTCAGTCCAAAATTTATTCGTTAATGAACACAGAAACCTTTTTTTCGAATAATCGTGTACATTTTATTCACTTTAGTGTTACATTTTGTATTACCTTTCACTTTTCATGAATAGAAGTATGAGTTTAGAAAGCAATGGAACACGACTCTGATCCCGGTTGTTTGTGTTTGGTTCATACCCGATCAACTAATAATGGCAACCCTGGCTATTGAAGTGAACATTGAAGTCTGCAGACCAACTTCAGGTAAAACGCTTCACTTCTCTTCAACCTTGTAACTTTACAAACACTCTTCTTTTACAGCCTCAACCATCTTTTTAAAATGAATTTTAACTTCGAATATCGAATCTCTGGATATCTCGAATTGTTGTCGTAGTCCCAACGAGTTCGGTAAAACGAGGTTTGACTATATATGGCTTAAAGTACTTTAGGAAGGTCATGTATGGTCCTTTTTTCCTAATCAAGGGTAATTAAGGTAACATAACAATAAATTATTAATTAAATATTTAGTTTCAGTTTCTGACACTTAGTTACAAAAGAAAATAAGTTAACATTTTTTTTTTAATTCTAAGACATACATTACTGTTATTTCTATACCTGTAACATCGAATACAATTTTGTAATACATTTATAACAAATCTCTATATTGCCTAACATGCCTTCGTGTTCATGTTCTTCTTCATTCTACAACTGTAATCCTGCTGGAATTGTCATTACTGATGACGTAAGTATATTTGATAATGAGGACCTGAAATCACTTATTTTAAAAGGGCCAAAAATTTAGGGAACCCCTAACGTTCAATCCTGGAGTCATAATTTCATAAGTAAAATATAGAGACAGTGAACAGTAATCAAGCTCAAAAGTAAACAATACAAATTTGGAGCAGAGCAAACACGGATCTGTAAAAACATCAGAGGTGGGATCAGGCGCCACGGAGGAGTAAGCATGCAATGTCGACCGGTCACACCTGTGTGTGTTCATTGTCATGATCCGGCAAATGGAAAATCAGTAGGCAATTTAGTGTGTAAATATTATGAATTCCGTGGAAAACCACGCCAGGATATGGGCCAGACATGAAAAAGAAATCCTTTGTAAGAATGGATTTAAAGTATCAGATGGATGTTGAAATCTCATATTAAGCTGCTGAGGGGCAATATGAAAACCATCAATATGTACTGGTCCCAGCTGACTAAGCAGCTTACAACATTGTTTTTTTTTTCTGTAAGGCTAATCACTTTGATTGTATTTTAGAAGAACTTGGATTTAAATCTGCAAGTGGTACTCAAACTTACACTCATTGTTCCCTTTCTAAGGAGAAAATTCTTCAACATTATATGTCAGTAAAATATTTTTAATATTCCCAACAATCAAATTGAATTTGCATTACCATTCCTAACTACATAAAATCCTTACAAACAAAGATACATAGCGGGTTCCAGTTAATGTTCTACCAAGCCTCTTTCTTTACTCAATAAAATATAAACAGCAGTGAAGGAGAAACTTCAGGAGTACTGTGCAACAATAGGTATAAATCCGATGTTAATACTTACAAACTCCAACTAACTTTCAGAAAATTTGAAATCACAAAATTTACCAAAGTTAATAACATCAAAAAGTACAACTTTTCAACACTCTACAGAACCATTCCCCTGTATAAATTCAAGTCTAATAAATTTTTTGATAAAAACATTCTGATTGTACACACAGGTACTCCGAAGTTGATATTAAAAAGATGCTAACGCGCTTCATGAAATATGCCTACGTGACAAGTCTGTGTGATTTATACACCAATAACTCACAAAAAACTTAAAAACAAAACTTATATATACCACCATTACCTGCATATGGCGTTTATGTCTCCAAATTGATTTCATAATGATTGTTCCATGTCTTTCATGTGATGTTTTTGGAGGTCCATGTTTGCTCTGCTCCCGATTTATATTGTTTTAATTGACTCTGAGCTCGAATACTGTTCGTTATCTCCATATTTCATTCAAAGTTTTCAGCACTTCTGGTCGGGATAGAAGGAGCTTAAGCATTGGTATAGTGTTCATCATTATTAGACTTTTTAATATGGTAAATAAAAGTATTCTTTTTTTCCTTAGTAATTCAAAGTATTAATTTTTGTTACTTAGTAAATTAAAGTATCAAAGTTTTTACTTAAGTAAAACAAATTATAAAAGTTTTTACTTTAGTAAATCAAAGTATCAATTTTTTTCACTTGGTAAACTAAAATATCAAAATTTTTCACTTACAATGTAAGTCAATCGAAGTATTTTACTATTAAAATCATTTGTTATAGTTCATGAGTCCAATTCTTAAATACAATTTTTTATACTCATATTCTATTTCTTATAAAAGAGCTTTTACTTTTATATTTTAAATATAATTTAAAAATTACTTTCATTTATATGGAATATGAGCGATACAGATTACATATTAATTGCAGTGATAAAGTTTTATTATAAATCAAAGTGTCATTTAACATCAAAGTTAAAATAAGTTTTGCTGCACATATAAATCAAAATATTTGTAGCATGAATTGAAGTAAGCTCCAGCAGTTTAACAAATTGAAAAAAAAAATTAACAGATGAAAACTATGCCGAGACACACAATTTAATTTCTGAATTTTGACATCTATGTAATATGATACAAAAATAAGAGAAAAAATTATCTTCTGAAATGTTCTAAAATAACACATCATCATCTCTCTCTCTCTCTCTCTCTCTCTCTCTCTCTCTCTCTCTCTCTCTGGTTTTGTCTTATAAAATAAAATAAAACTGTAGAATTCTCAAAGTTTCATTTTTGATTATTTATATCAGAAATTAGAATCTGTACATGTTATGGATCCAAAGGATTTTTGTTTCAGGGCGTTACTTCTTCCCAGCTGATTACCTTGCTGTGATTGGGGTCTATCAAACAGAACCAGTTAACAACATAGAAATGTCTACTGCAAAGCAAGATTTAACATTTACCATCGAGTCATCCGGAAACTCAGTAACCGAATTAAGTGAAAGTGGGTATACAGAGTTAAGTTCAGTAGGAGCTTCATTTGACTCTTCATTCACAAAAGACAGAACCAGTTCTGCATACGACGAAATGGATGGTAGTACGGGAGGAACGGCGGTGACGGTGGCAGATGGAATAACGGACGAAACAGACTCATCCGGATCCGATCCCGCGCAAGTATTCGTTACAGAGTCATCAGATAACCAATGGATACAAAGGACCATATCGGAACACTTGACTGATGACGTCACGAGTGCAACGAGCAATTCCGTTAATAGCATCACAGATATTACTACTCACGTGATCCGAAGTAACACAAAGGGAAACGTATCTCCATCAGATTCTCTGTGCACATGTGTGTGTGAAGGTCATGGGGTAAATTTAACAAAGGAAGAACTCCAGGAAAAGATAGAGAGGATTGAGAGCATTCTCAAAGTCAATAAAAAGGAACTATCATCAAGCTATCGGAAACTAATTAGTGCGCCCGACCCTCGTCCTTCCTCTAAAGGTATCGGGGCGAGCGGGATCGTTGTGATTCTTTTTTGTGTGGGGGTGATTATTTTGATGGACCTCAGTAACCTCAAAGGGATGGTGGAATTTTGGTCTTCTTTGACTATTCATTAGAAGTAATGTTATGTATATATTGCAGCAAAATCAAACAAGAATTGTCACGTGGACAATAAAATAATATGACTTTTACATATAATTTCCTTAAATATTGGAAGAACTATAATAGGGAAATGTATTAAAAGTTCTCATTTATTTTTATCTTATTTTATAAAGTCGAAAATGACTGTTAAATCAGTTCTTTAATTTATGGCAATGAATAATAAAACATCTGAACTTCCCCAGGAAAAACACAAAAAAAGACAATGAAGTATTAGTGAATGGATATCACACTGGAAAAAAAAACATGCAAATAATGTACTTGTATCATTACTTTATCTTTGTCAAACATAAAGTTCAAATTGTGTCATTCACCGTAGATTGCTGTTTATTCTATCTGAATTAGAAATCTTCAACGTGCAGTATTTAGAGCCCCTTAATGTGTTCTTGGAAATGTAAATAACTCTTAATTTTTTTCTTATCAATTAACTACTGTACAAACTACAGATTGAAAGTTGCTTCGAGGTGGGTTTCGATAAAAATTTTGGATTTATAAGATTTGGAATATGACTAAAATTTTGATTCAATGTTGCTTGTGTGATTTTTTTTTAAAAATATAGAATATAGACCGATTCTGTACTCATTTGAGTGCATTTATATATAACATAATGCCTTTAAACCATAGGAACAATTCAACAAACAGGGTTTACCGAAGGAATTAAAAGAACTGTTAACAGTAAGCAAGAGTTAAGGTCCATACCGGATATGTCTGTATAGCAATGGGAAGTCACTACAAACAATGGTTATCAACATAAAGGTGATAATACCAACACCTAGAACAGAGCCGATGCCCCTTACAGACGTCCTTTCATCCTTGGCACATGTCTTTGCTCTCACTGTTTTAGACAGTTTTTCTTTATGGACTTCTAGTTCTTTCTTCAGTTTGTCTAATCTGATTTTAAGAACCTGTGGATCACTGATAAAATTCTGAGATCTTACCCTGTCACATGGACACTTACAGCCTGTTCAATACAAAAAAAACAAAAACTTATTATTATATCAATGACGCCATTGCATTAAAAGTTCCGACAACTTACGTTTACAAACTGGTTTCTTTCCTGTCCAATCACCAGTTTCGTTACATACTCTTACGAGATTGCCATCTACGTGACGATGGTTTTTCTTACATGTGTATGTCACATTATCATCCTTAAAATACATCGGTGACTTGCCATACTCAAGAATAGTAGTGTCATTTTCATGATCAGGCTCCTGGCAAGTGACTGTTGGAAATAAAAAAGACTGATTGATTGATTGTATGTTGTTTAACGTCCCATTCGAGAATTTTTCACTCATATAGAGACGTCACCATATACCAGTGAACGACTTCAAATTTTGACCTTTACTCGGCACTCAGGGCCATTCAGCAGTGAGGGATCTTTATCGTGCCAACGCCTGCCGTGATGCCGTGACACGGGGCCTCGGTTTTTAAGGTCTCATCCGAAGGACCCGCAACTTTCACTTCAAAGTGCTGAACGCATGGCGAAGGAACAGTTGCTACCCATTTTTTATCGACTTAGTCGCGGCCGAGATTCGAACGCACGACCTCCCGATCACGGAGCGAGTGCTCTACCGACTGAGCTACCGTGAACGGTTAAATAAAAAAGAAAAACGGATATAATTTTTAGAACTTATTTCTGTACCAAACTTCACAACTGTCAATTATTATATTCTTTCCTTCTGAGAACAAACATTGCACGAGCTTCTCTTAACATGTTGATATCGAGATGACTTAGTGCACCGGTATATGGTGACGTCTCTATATGAGTGAATAATTCTCGAATACAATCAATCAATCAAATGTATGGATTGATAAGGATGAACATCAAAGTTTCCCTAAGACCCAAATTCACTCGAATTTCAGTTCTTAATCGAATGAATTTGAAAGTTAATAAAATTGTACTGATGTTTTATTCGATCTTTTTTATTTTTATCTGATTTATTTATTTATCTAGGCCATATTTGGTTTTTGTAGTGTATCTTGTAAAACTTCATGCTGTTATTTGAAAAGTTGAGTTAATTACAACTGGTAAAAATGTATCAAACATTTGTTAACCATGTCATTAAGCATTTATATTAGTCTATAAAATAAGTTTTAACATAATAAAAAATATATCACCATTGCACACAGGAGCTTTTCCTGACCACTGTCTGTTCTCTCTACACTGAAGTGTGAGATTCCCATCAGTCAAGACGTGTCGTTCTTCACACTCAAAGACACGTGACTTAAGGAACGCAGTGAACGGATCTCTTACGTCATAAGGATATTGTCCTATATCCTCAGCAAAATTATATTTGAGAAGAGTGTTGGTGTAGTTTTTATTGAGGCATTTATCTGTAATTGTGGAAGTAGGAGTTTCACTTTAATTTAATGAAACGATTGATGACTAAATCTAGAGGGGGTCAAGGGGTCCGAGACATCCCCTGGAATTTTCAGAGTTATAAAATTTACAAAGTAACTCAAAAATGACTTGGACCCATTCAACAACCCCCCACCCCCCATCCCAAGTAACCCGGATCCTTGGTAAGTTGGTTCTTGGTAAGTTGGTTAGGAGAGTCAAATATATTAAGTTTATAAAGCGAAGGAAAATGCCACCTCCTATACCCTCCCACAATTTAGGTTTTTCGGATTTGGAGAAGTTTTTTTTTTAATTTTGGCTTGTCAAAAAAGTTCTGATTGGATTTATTTTTCGAGTTGGATGGACCCCACCTGGTAAAAATTCCGCGCGCATGAAATCTTTTTGGCATATTTTTTTCGAGGAACATGGCAAAATGTTATACATGTACGTTCGGCAGTAGCCTTTCTTACATAAGTTTTCATTGCTATCAGAGATAAAATCATACAGGTTAGTTTTTGCTTGTATTCCTTTAATAAGAATTTACTTGTGATTGTTTAAATTTTCTTTCCAACATTTAAAAACGCTTTTTAACTTTTTTTTTTTTTTAGTCTGTGGTTTTTTACTTTTCAAATATGAAATTCAAAATGTCAAATCTTAACTTAAAGCTTATATGACGTGTAGCAATTTTCAAATTAGGTCTAAATTAGGTTTAAAAATATTATTAAAAATGTATTAAAAAATAAATGCAGTCGATAATTTAGAGCAAATTTAAAAAACAAACAATTTAAAGTATGGATAAAACAGCTCTCTCAAGACTTTATGAAACATTGATAAGAACGAGATGTTTTATGGAGAAAAAAATCGTTATCCAAGCTTTAAAAACCCAGAGTCTAGTATTTATCAAGATTTATTTAATGTTCTGTGTGCAAAAATATCAAAGGATCAAAAGGTTTCATATTTCATATTTCACATGTGTATTCCTTGTGACAAGACCTTTCTTAAGGTACCACCATATTTGACCTTTTGACCTTGGAGTTTGACCCAGTTTTGCAAAATTTTACCCATCTTTAACCTTGGCCATAACTTTTGAACAATTGGTGCTAGGGCTTTCATACTTCACATACGTAATCCTTGGGACAAGACCTTCCTTTAGATACCACCAACTTTGACCCTTTGACCTTGACCTTGGAGTTTGACTTACTTTTGAAAAACTTTAACCTTAGCCAGAACTTTTCAACAGTTAGTGCTAAGGCTTTCATACTTCACATATGTAATCCTTGGGACAAAACCTTCCTATGGATACCAACAACTTTGACCTTGACCTTGTAGCTTGACCTACTTTTGAAAAACTTTAACCTTGGCCAGAACTTTTGAAAGGTTGGTGCTAAGGCTTTCATACTTCATATATTTAATCCTTGCGACAAGACCTTCCTTTGGATACCAACAACTTTGACCCTTTGATCTTGACCTTGGAGTTTGACATACTTTTTGAAAACTTTAACCTTGGCCATAACTTTTGAACCGTTGGTGCTATGGCTTTCATACTTCACAATGTAATCCTTGTGATAAGACCTTCCTTTGGATACCAACAATTGTAATCCATTGACCTAGACCTTGGAGTTTGACCTAGTTTTGAAAAACTTTAACCTTGGTCATAACTTTTGAACGATTGGTCCCTCAGCTTTCATATTTCACCTGTATATTTCTTGTGAGAAGGCCTTTCCTTGGGTACCATAATTTTGACCATTTGACCTTGACCTTGATTTGACTTACTTTTGAAAAACTTTAACCTTTTCCATATCTATTCAATGGTTGCTGCTAGGGCTTTCATATTTCACAGGTATATTCCTCGAGACAAGACCTTACTTTGGGTACCAACATATTTGATCTGCATTTGAGAAAGTTTAACCTTTGCTATAAGTTGCTATACGGGGGCATCAGTGTTTCACAAACACATCTTGTTTTAAAACTGGGTATACTGTTCGTGCAAATATTTCAGCGATATTATATAAATATATGGACTTTTGCTGAAGTCTACTCGAGACTATACGGACTTGGTCAGGTATTTGTTGACCGATACCTGACCAAGTCCGTATAGTTACAAGTAAATCGAATTCAAAAGTCAATATCATATACAAAGTGTAGACACTGGCAGTGAATTATGACTATCCTTAAACTCGGGTGAGCATATGAAAACCATGGACAGCAGAGAATGATCAGCACATGTACTTGTAAGCACTTTGTTTCAGAATTGTATTGAATTTGCAACCCAAACTGATGATATGCATGAAAATTGAGGGTTACATATACGTGCCTTATGAGTTTTTATATTGATGTTGTTGTACAGACAGACTGTCGGCATCAAAAGCTTTTATTAATTTATATGCGTCATTATAAGAGTTAATATGGTAAAGATAGCAATCAATCATAAATCCTGTAAACATAAGAATTTGAAAACTGTAGCACCTCTTTTGACGATGCCGAGTGGGAGTTTTGCCTTAATTCTATATGTAAAACAGTGATGAGTTTTTAAATGAGATGTGAAAACTTCCCAGTTTCATTTTTATTGAGGAAGCACTGTCTATGATGTCAAAAAGCCTGCCTTGAATTCATCTTGAAATATTACTGTATGAATTAATGGATACTTATCATTATGTTTTGATGATGCTGACTTTTGTGATTCCAAAATCCATATTAAATCTTTAGAGTTTTTTTGAAAATTTGCTATTGATTTAGACCCCTTCTAGAATACATGTTGTAGCAGAGTAAGTCTGAAGGTTGTCCTCTACAGCAGTAAATACTTTTTGAGGCGTTAAGTTGGGGGCTTGGTGGAACATTAACTGGACCCCGCAACGTATTTTTGTAATGATTTTTATGAAGTTTTGAAATCCAGTATACGGACGGTAAATCCAATTCAGATATTGAAAACTTTAACGACCACAGACAAATACCAATTCACAATAAATGATTTTTTAAAAGTCCATATCAAGTACTAGTCAATACTTAGTCTTATGTTGATAAAGTAAAAGTAATTCTCCAAAATAATGTTCTTAATGCATTACCATGCCTGGGAATTATTCAAGTAAAGAAAAAAAAGTCTTAGACTAGAGACACTTACTATAGCAGAAGAAACTGATGGATTTCCCTTCAATGGTTGAATCAGTTTTCAATGAACACTGTTGTTTACCATCACATTCAGTTAACATTGAAATGCTCTGAGATTTTTCAAACTCCGTCACATTCATCAGAGACAGGTAATTGCTATCACACCTGAGTGAAAACGATCCATGTTCAAAAATCACTGTCGAATTCCAACGGGCTGTAACGAATACAAATTAGCTAATCGCATGTGTTTGCATATTAGATTTATGTATTTACTTACTGCATTCTGAACATCAAATAGATATAAGAGCTTAAAAATATTTTAAAATTAATTTCACCTGTAAGAGTCATTTTATTAAATATTAAACTTGATAGTTGTGAATTCTAAATATGCATGGAATAGTCAAGCTTAACAAATATGGAAAGACGTTTATTAGTATTTATTTTTCGTTATGATTGCACTTATTTTTTAAAATTCATTGATTTAAAGGCGATTTGCATTTTCCTCATCTTAAAAATTTGTCTTATCAATTGAAATGAAATTCCCCTAGTGTTTGATGTGATAAGATTTCTTTTAAGATCACAAATTGTCTCAGTTTTTCCCCTTTTAACAACTAATACCATTCCAAGATATTAATGACTTTTAATACGAAAACTTAAATAAACAGTTAACAACAAAAAAACAACAAAGTTTTACTCAGTTTCTCTCCAGCAATTGCGCTTGAGCAAGCGCATTCATGATTAAGTTCATCAACACATCCTGAAAAATACATTTACAAAATTCTGTATTTTTTTTATATATATATTGGGCGAAGTCATTTGTATTCTGACCCTTGATCAGTTTAATTTTTTCCATAAAAACAATTAGCAAGAGGTCCATTGGCTACAATGCTCATCTGGATAAAGCTGTTCTTTCTAACTCTTTCTTTAGCTCTTCATTAAAATCTTTTTTACTGCATATTATGTGAAATATGTTCCTATTTTAGCCCAAACCTAACCCCAGGGTCAATAAATTGAAGAAAAAAATCATTCAACATATTTTGGGAAAGTTTGCATTTTAATGATTTAATGTGGCTACATACTCTAGAATTATTTTTATTTCTTATATGTATTCCTACATGAGTGTTTACCTTTTTTTGGCCAAACTCTACCCTCAGGGGCCATGATTTTAACAAACTTTAATCTGCACTACCTAAAAATGTTTGCTTATTAATATGACTAATCATTGACCTACCAATCTTGAAAGGATTTTAAACCATATTTTTAATAATATATTCTCATGTAAGATTTCAATCCCCCTTTGGCCCCACATTACTCCCAGGGCAATGGTTTCAAGACCGCGGAACGATTTGAAATCTGCAGCTTACGTCATTTCCGTAGAGTAAAAAATTTGAAGATAGACAATGAAATGGGCCGTACAATACGGCGTGGTTGTCTGAGAAAACATTGGATTGAAATTCTGTCCAATCCTCCTCAGCTACGCTCGTAAGCACAGTGTTACTGACTGATCCAAAAGACAAATAATTTCAACTGAAGAATAGTTAAAAAATCATATAAATCGGCGTTTTTTGTCCGGTGTTTTTAAAGAAATAAAAAGGGGACGGCCATTTGATTCCTATTTTGGGGTTAGGAGGGCTTAAAGATCTTAGAAATGAATAAGAAAGTTTTTGAGTTTGGACACATACACCCCTCCTGATTTTCGCTTGTCAAACATTTTTCAGTGAAGAAGAAAATAAATATCTCTTGTCATCCTAGAAATAAAAATATTCTGTTATGTGAAGGAATGAACATAAATAATCTGACTTGACAAAGTTTACCGTCCCCTGAAAGAATCTATCTACTCTATATATAACTTTTGCTTGTCCTTAAGAATTTGATAGAAAATTCTGATATACATTAATTCCAAACTACACTTGAATTTGGGAATTGAAATTATTTGGCTTTTGGATCATATATTAACACTTTGCGTATGAAAAAAAGCTCAGGTGGATTGAAAATGAATTTAGAAATAAAATTTCAATCCAATGTTTTCTCAGAAGTCCGTGTCAAATTGCACCCGCCCATTTCATTGTCTATCATTACATGTTTTGACTGTAACAGATGGAAATGACGTAAGCTGCATATTTCAAATTTTGCCAGTTCATGTTCCGTGGTCTTAAAAATTGAATCTGCACAACCTTAGGATGTCTGCATAATAATATGACTAATCATATTCCTTTTGTTCTTCAGAAGAAGACTTTTGAAGATTTTTTTTTCCATTATTCTTTGTAATTTTTTGCTTTCCATTCTAGGACCACCCTATCCCTGGGGACCACAGCATGATATTAAAAAAACTGAATCTGCCCTACTTGCAAGGACATTAATTTCACTAACCATGGCCTAGCTGTTTCTTAAATATTCTTATATAAATTGTGATTTATCAGATTTCAAACTTCCTTGCTTCACAATCGATTGCACTCGATTTTTGTTGTTCATAGTGTTTGTTTCACTAACAAGTTTTGAAAACTTCGCTTCATTTTTATTCTCATCTACTTTTTTAAGGGTTATTAAGCAATATGAGATCGTTGTTAGGGAAGAAGTCTGTCGTAATTAAAATCTTAAGTTCAATCTGCTACGAATGCGTTCGTGAAGAGCACTTAGAATTTTTTGTAAGAGATTCTTAAGTTAAAACTCTTAGGCAAAAACTTAAGATTTTTTGTGAAAAGGCTATTGACATCACTCTAGTAGAACGTACGCGGGTTAAATTGCCCTCCATTATCACCAAAGGGGTCCTTCCATGTATTTTATCCCCCCAGACCATAATGCTCCGGATAACGCAGACATCAATGTAACGTTCTCCGGCACGACAGTAAAGCCCGAACACCACTGAAATCTCGACTCGTCCCTAAACATGAACCTCCGCCAAATCTCTGTTACTAAACCGTCTTTGCCTCCTACACCACGCTAACCTCGCAACACGGTGACGCCAGAGCACAAGACTTAAAGCAGGACGTCAGGGACGGATGTTGGCCTCTCGCAATCTGTAGCCCTTTTCACAAGAAAAATCTTCAATGAAATAAATTTTATTATAGGATGCATAAAAAGTTCTATTAAACGTTTATCTGGGTTTTATCTGTTATATTTTTAAATAAAAACCGGCTCTAAGATACTTACGAGAGGGTTAGAGTCCTCGTAAAGTTACGACAAATTTTACTCATAAGAATCTTGGTGAATTTTGGTGAAAAGGAAGAAAATCATAAGATTTCTCTTACCATGAATATTATTCGTAAGATTTTTTTTTGGAAAAGGACTACTCTATCCCTTACGGTACGAGGACTTATCTGTCGATGCCCAGCGATGCTTTCGCGATCAAAGAAGCCGATTGGAATCGATTATGCAAATGTGACGTCTGTATATATGTATCTTGCCGACGTGACGTCACGTGGACGTCCTGATCGTAGGTGGTTCCGAACGGTGCCATTTTGCTGATATCGTCTCTATAAAGCATTTACAGTGTTTGAAGTACAACCTGCCTTGCCCCACTGCTTTGAAACATCCCAGCTTCCAGCATACCAATAGCACACAAACAATCATTTTCAATCATGCAAGGAATCTTTCAATCAAAATTTTATACCAAAAACCATTGTTTTTCTGTTTCAATACATTGAATACTGTCAATTAATGCACGAAATTTTAAGCAATTACTAACCACCTGCCGCTTAGGTTCGAAACTCCAGAAAACGGTGCTGAGACCATCTAGGCAAATCGCGATATCGCGATATTTAACGATATCTATTTAGGATATTTGACTAGGTCTTTAAGAATGAAGAGCGATCATACAATACCTTTATGTTTTTATTTAAGTTTTACGTATACACAGTTTCTATTTTCCGCTAGTATATTTTCCTATTGTGCTCCAATCTTTCTCTCATCGCCAGGGGTGGGGGAGGGGGCATTATTTGAACGAACTTGCATCCACAGTCCATGGGGATGCTGCAAACCAATATGACTTACTGTTGTCCTGCTATTCTTGAGAATAAGAATTTTAAAAATATTTTCTATATACGTTGAGCCGCTTTGCGGTCTAATTCTACCCCTAGGGAGCATGACTGAAAAAAAAGACTGGAAAAACCCTATACAAGATAGTATTCACCTAAGTTTTGACTTGTACGGTCCAATGGCTCTTGAGAAGAAGATTCTTAAATGTTCACTATTTTCCAAATATCTTCCCTTAAAGAAGGCGTGGCTTCAATAAATAAACTTCACCCAAGGGTGCTTTGTGACAAGTTTAGTTGAAATAGGAGAAAGAGATGAAAATATGAATGGTTTACAACAAGGACGCCGACGACAACGTCAACAACGACAGACAACGGACAGAAAAGCTCAACTGAGCCTTTTGCTCTAAATCTGGTGAACTATAAAATAATATGGAAATGTTTACCTACTGTGGATCATCAAATTTTTGCGACACCTTATTTTCTTGAGATGACTATATGGTATTAATAAGTGTGAAAAAATTCCTTAATTTTGGTTATTAATGTACATTTATCTGAAACAATACAAATATAAGCGAGAATGAAATTTTCACGAGCAGATAGTGCATGACTTAATTACGCGAAAATAAAGATCCACAAATAAAATGTGATTACAGCAAATACTATAATAATTGCCAATAAATAGAAGTTATCTTTTACTGGTACTTCAATGTTTATGATAAATTTTTTGATTTGTTACCGAGAAAAGGAAAAAAAACAATTATCACCATATATTTCCACCTCACACGGCTCAATCACAGCATAGTTTTCCGTTGATGGATTTGATTTGTTGACATAAAGAAACACCTGTACACCAGCGTGACCCTCAGGAAAAATGATTGTCATTTGTTGGCTTGGGCTAGGTTCTTCGTCGTGGTAAACGGGGTCAAAAGAGGTCAGTTCACTATATGTCACTGTCCGATTTGTGATGAACACATAGTAGCCAGCATGTCGGGTATCTGAAATAAGCTTACAATATATAGTAAGACCATATTTGTCTTTTCTTTAAATGTTTACTCACATACTTCACGGATGCTCTTCATAATCTGAAACAGATTATTTTTATAATATTTAGTTGAATTTTCTAAGTTACCTTTCAAAGGTATACACATGGTATTTGTTGTATTTGCATGGATAAAAATATTCTTTGGGATACTGTACGTATACATATGGAAGCGTATTAGTACCACGTAATATTTTTTTTAAATTGGTAATTCCAACTTTAAAGTTGGCTTTTCAAACTTTAAAGTTGGAAATTCCAACTTTAATCTTGGATTTTCAAACTTTAAAATTGGCTTTTCAAACTTAAATTTAAAGTTATAATTACCAAATTTAAAGATGGAAAAACCTATTGAAAGTTGGAAAAGCCAAGATTAAAGCTATATCATATATATTGCTGATGCAATAAAAAAAAAGCTTAAAGCTAGAATTTCCAACTCTAAAATTGGAAAAGCCAACTTTAAAGTTTGAATTACCAACTATAAAAAATATATTTTGTGGCACTAATACGCTTCCGCATATACCTGAACTATAATTATTGATTAATAGTACCTTAGTTAAGGACCCACACACACAATGCACAATGAATTTTTTTTTTCGGACATTGAGAAAATCATATTATATGTGTAACTATTGAGTTTATTTCATTTATAACATCTAAATTACCAGCCATTTACCACCTGGAAAAAATGTTCAACAACAATGAAGTATTGATGAACAGAAATCACTGTTGCTTACTCAAATGGAAAAAATACATGTAAAAAGTGGCCTATTAAAATGTTAAGAAAGCTTGAATTGATTACAAATTATGTAATACGCTGTAGATTTCACTTTATTATTTTTTCGTAGATCTAAGGAAAGATAACTCTAACTGCATAAAAATACCACAAAATTAGAATTCTTAAGTTTGCAGTATATAGAGGATTATTAATGGAAACTTCATTGTTAACATTATTTAGTTATATAAGATGAACAACGAAAATTTAACAAATAAGTCGAGCTGGGGTCAGAAATGTGAGTGTTTTCAGCTAAATACACAAAAATCATGACGATTTCCAAACTTTTTTGAAAGTTCATTTAACACTATAGGTTATTCAGATCATCTGGACACTTAGAAACACTGTACTCGTACTTACACTGCTCCCTGAAGACCAAGTTTATTTTAAAGATCTTGGAAGCCGACTTGAAGGTCACTTGCCACCAAGCCTCACCAAAGGCTTTCATGACGTTTGACCCGGCACATCCGTGTGAGTGATTGTGATATTTCCCATCCAATGCTTTCTCTGCTGAGAGCCTTGGAGTCCCTTCTATCTTACTATATTCATATTCTGATGATATCGAAGTGTTGTATAGATGAACCTTTCCCAAATTACAGATCTGAGATGCTGTAAAATAAAAGGTCGGAAAATGTTGGTATGATGGCATTCATGTTGGATAATAATCCGATTATCACATGTCGAAATGTTTTGACGTCATAGTTACTTTGCTATTAATATTACGTCACAGACTCATTCCTTGAATGCTCCGCCCAGTTAGCATTTTGATTGGTTATAATATCAATGAATATCAATGAGAGAAAGTAGTCCAATGAGTAGCTTTGATTTCACATGGAGTAGTCCTCATATGGGGGAAGTAGTGAGAAACAGACAGTTTCATGGTACTAGTATCGATTTTATACAGAGTTGTAACAATAGAGGTATAATAACACTTTCTATTTTCCTGAGAAGGAATTATACTTCCCCCAAACATTAAACATTTCGACATGCGATATTAAAATCATACTGGAATTATAGAAAATGACAAGCACGATAATTCTTTAAAATATATATGTGAAATTATTTTAATTTTTTAACATGTTATTACGTTCCTAGGTATTGCTGCATTAGATATCTAACAAAAGTTTAGTTACGTGAATTTGAGTTTCTTTTAATGCCACTATATTGTCTATTGCCTATGTCTGAGTATCTGGTTTAATTAATCTCCTTAGATTGTTTCAGTGTAATAAAACGGTTATGGAATTGGTACACGGGAAATTGCAAATTTATTGTTCCCCTCGGCAGGAAACTATTTCCCTCTGCGGCGAATAAATTTACTATTTTTTCATACCCATTCCATAACTGTATATACTGATCTTCTACCAATATTGTGAAATTTATGCCCCCCCCCCCCCCCCCCAGGTTTCAAACTCCAGGGTTTGGCTAAGTTGGTCATACATTCAAAATGTATTTTGTTTAGGTATAATAAAACAGTAATGGAATTGGTACTCGGGAAATGGCAACTTTATGGTTCCTCGAGGGAGGAAATTACTTCTCCCTCGGGGAACCATTAATTTGCTATTTCCCGTGTATCCATTACATAACTGTATATTGTTGCGTATCAAATCAACTGGGAGACATAAACTCCAAATGCGGGTGTAATGACACATAAATAAGGGAAGTTGACGATAGAAAAGTTTAAGTTATCACGGTTATCATGAAGCTTTGTTCTGAGGTTGCCATTAATGCATTTTTCTAGTAAAATATATAAATATGAAACAGATGTGTCAGACTCCGTGGTGTATTTTATTTCGAGTTCAAAGGGATATATCGAGTCAACTAGGAATGAAAATGAATATTGCTAATTGATGACACGTCGTCGAATTGAAGGGCATAGCAAAAGACTTCTTTTCATGTAGAAGTTTCTGAATAAATTCTGTTCCATATGAATACAAAAATAGGTATACTTTTAACGGGGCGCATAGATGAAAATACATTTCATCTTTGAAAAAGTTCTATTCAAAATGACACATTGTGGGCAAACGTATTATTACAATATATGAATATATTGAGTAATTTACACCTTACCGGCCTCCTGGGTGGGGCTATGTTGATCATAATTTCGAAATACGGTACACCTTTCAAAATCGTGTATGTATAATAATTATGATTAACACTTAGCCCTCTGCCAATTTTAAAAAAATACGTGGACCATAGTTCGGGCCTCAGGGTGCATGGAATTTGTCATATGCTACATCTTTGAAATTCTTAATTACTCACGGCCAGTTGTTTGCATGATTTATAACGAGCAGCTAACATCTTATATATAAAAAAATATAAAGTTTGTGTCATAGGCTAAGATGGTCTTGTGCTGAAGTTTATTATACACTGTACTTTATCTTTGTTTCTGAGTTTCTGAGTGACAAGCTGCATGAATATGATAATTGATGACCTCACAGAACTAAATGATGCACTAAATGACATACGAAAGGATGACTGCACTTAACGCCTGTTTTGGGGTCTTTTTCGGTTGCTTCTGTTGCTTTTATTTCTAAACTTTATTTCACTTTTGTATGTTTATGAAAGAATCCTGTCAATTTGAAACCAAATTTAAATCTTAAAATGATTTTAGACTGTGATACAATAAAATGATTCAATGTTTTTTGTCCTTAGTGTTTTCCAAATATAGTGAATTTACAGTTAACTGCCCTTGATTGAACATTAGATATGCATGAGAGGTGGAGCTAACATTGTTAATATGGGTCTTAAATTAGACTTGATAAATAACAATGACATGTTTGAAAAAAAGAACATGATCACTCTTTCCAATCTCCCTCTCCATTCTGAATGGCACAAATACACTTCTGACAAAGGTTTCAAAACGAAACTAACAATATGAGCACGTCAATATAATTTAAGCAGATTCTATATCAATGCCAGATGACTTAACGTGTTCGAACATAATGGCCTAGTTAGCACAAAACATGTTACCTTACAAGTCACGTGACGGAATTTGGTATTCACAAAGTTACCCGAGGTAGGACATCACGTGGTAAATTATAATATTCAACATGTCACAATCCTTGGTTACAACACAGAGAGCGAGTGTAAGAAGAGGCAGTTTTTTTCTCTTTTTAACCATGAGCGCATGTTTGTCTATTAATCTCCTTTTGACACATTATTATTTATGCAAATATACAACTACTGTGAAACGGAGAACAATAGACAAACATGCGCTGACTATGTATAAAGTCAGTAAAAAAGTGGGCGTCCTCATTATCGTACGGAGATTCAAGAAATTGTGATGACCCCTGCCTTTGAAAACAGATTCAAACTTCGTAAATACACACTTTTATTAAACGTAATTACATAAAGTTGTAGATTGGATGTTGACCATTCTTGCAATGAAAAGGAAAATGCTTGTTTTGGAAGTTTATTTTGTCGCAAATTTCGCATGTCCTTAAGTGCAGTCATCCTTTGCGACAAAATCAACTCTCAGAAAGGGCGTTTTTCTTTAATTACAAGAATGATCAACATCTAAAGAATGATCAATATCTAAACTGCAACTTTGCGTAATTTCAATAAATAAAAGTTTGTGTTTACGAACAGTGAATCCGTTTTCATAGGCAGCGGTTATTTCGCAACAGAATACAAGTTATATATAAAAATTTAGTTTTCTAATGTTAAAGCTGGAGTACTTCCGAATTCAGTAATTGATAAGATGTTATTTCTGTTTTATGTAAATGATGTTGCTGAAAACATATCTGTTTGTAGATTATATGCTGAGGATAACTCCTTACAACAATTAATGTTCAGATAATATCATTCTTATTGAGCAAATTTTAATCATGATCCTAGAATACTACATGAATGGTCAAGGAGATATTTTCATATGCCGCCGTTCCGCCAAAAATATAGTCCCTGCTAGATTTCAAACTCAGTTTACCATTTTTATTTAAGTTGTACAATTATGTTGAGGAAAGAAAAATATGATCTTTAAATCCCTTACACCTAAATATATATCACATATGAGCAAATATACGTTGAATATTTCATCTAGTCAGAAACCAGGCAAGAATCCCTCCTTAAAGTGATTTTAAGCTAATATATCTTTGCAATACATTTGAATGCAGTGCCTCAAAATTCTGATACAGATTTCTGAATAATTTATCTGTATATCATGATTGGCTGTCCCTTGCAAGTATGCGCAAGACCCAGGCTTACAAATTACCTTGCTTTGAAAATTATAACTGCTATGCTAGTGACAGGGGGCTATCTATGAGTTGAGGGTATGCACATTACCAAACCTGCTCCTAACAATGGCAATTTGAAGCATATCCTAATGAAATATGATATGGGTGTTGTTCATCACTGAAAGCAATTTTGTTGCAATTCTTGTCATGACACATGGTTGAGGTCTAGTAATTTTAGCAAACTTAAATTTTTCAAATTCTACCTAGTGATGGGTCAACAAGTCATGTATAGAAAATTTGCTTTCTAGGAAATGTAAAACCTGGAGTCCCTCAGGGTTCAGTGCTTGGTCCACTGTTATTTTTGTTGTATACAAATGAAGTCTCTTTGTAGATTATATGCTGATGATAACTCCTTGTAACAACGTTCAGATAATATCATTCTTAGGAGCAAAATCTGAATCATGATCATGAATGGTCAAAGAAATTGTTGTTGAAATTTAACCCACAGAAAACCACAGCTGTATTTTTTCATTTAAAAAAGTTCAATAATTTCCAAATTTATTTTTTTTTCAAAATTGTCAATTAGAATATGTCTCACAATAAATTTATGTCTTCAAATTTGGGTTGGTCTGATCACATTGATAACATTGTAAAGAAGGCCTACAGAAAACTTGGTTAACTTAGAAACCTAAAATGCACTGTGTAAAGGGATACTTTAACCCAGATGTATAATTCTTTTAAGGCCACAACTGGAATACTCTGTTGAACTTTGGTCTAAATGCATAAAGGCAGATATTGAAAAGCTTTAGAGAGGCCAATTATTTCCACTACAATATTTACTGATCTTTCGCTTATTGTTTCCAAAAATTCCTTATACATGTACTTGGAAACCGGTTGGGAACCTTTGGGAAACAGAAAAAATCGAGTTAATCTAGTAATAGTGTATAAAATACACAATTACGTAGTACCTACTTACATGTACATACAAAATATGGTACCTGATATAAAATTAAGCAATGTTTCACAATATTCTACTCGAAATTCTTCCAACTATTTCTTGCCCAAATGCACAATAGAATTTTTTAATAAATCCTTCATTAATTCCTGATACTGTTATAAGGTGGGATGCAATTAGTCTTAATGGCAGAGATTTTGTACCGGGTGGTAAATTCCAGGTTAGGGAGGGGTTTATTTTGTACAGATGTGAATGCCTTGAGGGCTAGCAGTCTATCTGTGGTCATTGTCTCCCAATCTCTACACACAGGAAATGATTTAATACACAATAGAATACCCAAGAAGTCAAAGTTTACCTGTGTTGGGATTTTGAGATGATTTTAAATTAGAAATAAAAGTTTTAAATAAAGTTTAATTCTAATTTTTTTTTATTAATTTGTAATTGAATGTGTGTCAAAGCATCCCCACCCATTAGAAATATTATTAATCAAAGTATTTGTTGAGCTTTGAAAAAAAGTTATATATATATACCTAATTTTGATATATATTATCATAATGAATATCATAATTATTTCAAGTACTAAAGGTGTGTACATATATATTATCAAGCTAAAAATTCCATAGTAATACAGCTTCCCTATTGTTTATACCATGTGTGGTAAATATCAAAGGATTAAAAGTTAATTTGAAGGTCACCACGAGTGCCAAACAGTAAGTAAATGTCAATCATGTTCAAGCACCCAATGATATGTACCTTAATGTTCTTGATTGACGGGTACACAGACCAGGTACTTTTGAAGGCGGTGCTTAAAATCTCTGCCTTTAATCAAAGGAAGGCAACTTCCATTTAAATTTTTTTTAAATTTTCTGTCAAGCAATATTGCAAAACCTCCAAAGTATTTTTCATATGGAAAGAGACTTCTGAATATAATTCACACAAGGTTAAGACATAATAGTACTTTAAACTTTAAATTCTAACTTACTTGTATATCGTTGTAACTTAATAGCCAGTCCAAATTGTTCATGATTCATACCTTCTTTTTTTTTTTTTTTTTATAAAATTTTAAACAAGACATTCTCTCTTTATTATCATTCCATAATTTGTACTTTTTAGTTGTGAATTTGATGCGATACAGTCGGGGTGGGGGTTGATTCATTCTGTGATCAACAAAATGTAGAACTTTTTAAAGTTATTCAATCTTTTTTAAACGAATGTGGAAGATTTTCCATAAAAGTATTAGTTTTTATAAAGAATAATGTTTTGCATATCAAGAATTCTCATTTTTTGACGATACTAATGATCAAAATAATTGCACTTGTATTATGGCCATTTTATACGATTTTGTATAAGGAGAACAATGCCTAAGTTATAGAAACTGTGCCTTATTCTTTTGACTTTGTCGATAAAATATGTTCAATTAAATTCATAGTCAGGGGTCAACACGATTTCCTGAATCTCCATACGATAATTAAGATGCCCACTTTTTTACTGACTAAATGCATATTCAGCGCATGTTTGTCTATTGTTCTCCATTTTATGGTAGCTGTATATATTTATATATATAAAAGAGGAGATCAATAGGCAAACATGAACTCGTAGTTTAAAAGAGACACACTTTTTTCTGACGTTTATTCTCTCTACTGTAACCAAGAATTGTGACCTACAACATATTATAATTCACCACGTGATTTTTTACCTCAGGTAACTGTGAATACTAAATTTCGTCACGTGACGTGTAAGGTGGGTTACCTGTACCTCACCAACTGAGCTACTCAGGATATTTTTTCGAACACATAAAAGTATCAGACATTGATTTACGATCATCTGTAGCTAAAGATATGTGTAAGTGGCCATACTGTTAATTTCAGTTTTGAAACCTTTGTAAATACTGGTGCATGGTCGGATCTAGAGGGGGGGGGGGTCTACCTTTAATTTTCAGAGTTATGAAATATCTATGTAAAAGAAAGGAAAAAAAATTACCTCGGATCCCCCAGGAAATATAGAACCCTCTTCAAACGATAAAGGGAGTCATCTATCTAAAGAAAATTGACTTAGAATAGTGTCCTCTACACCACCTCCCACCCCCACCCATCCCCACGAAATAGAAATTTCAGGTTTGGACAAGTTCTGTTAAGGTTTGTTTATTTGTATGGGGTTTTTTTTTTTGGGGGGGGGGGGTATGGTGCCATATGGAAAAGAGAAAGATATATCACTTTTCTATATATGTATGACATTATTACGCTTAAGTCTAATTTAGACCCATTCTTACAATATTAGCTCCACCGTTAGAGCATATTTATCAACCAAATCTTCAATCAAAGGCGGGTCAATGTAACTTTTCGAAATTTGCAAAGCAATAAAAGCAAATACTTTATTATTTTATTGTAACACAATCTAAAATTACTTTGACAATCAAATTCGGTTCCAAATTGACCAAAAGTCTTTCACAATTAATAGAATTAGATAAGATATGAAAATAAGAGAAGTTGTATAAAAAGAACGCAGAACCCGGTGTTAAGTACAGTCATCCTTTTTTAGTCACAAGACCAGAGTTCCAATACGGTTGGGACTAACATAACATGAGAAACTCATAATACACAGGTGATCGAAATTATTTTCGAAAGATTTACTTTTCAAGAATATGAAAGCATCCTCATTTAGTGTATACTTCAATGTGTTTGTTTAAACTGTGATCTAATTGTTATAACATCAAAACAATTAAATATTTTCACAATTAAACAAAGGTTCCCTATCGGAAAGGGGGATTTTAAGATTAGTTTAATTGATTAATTGGTAATTGATTTTATTTAGTAAGATATTTGATCTTTTTTGTTTTCTTCAGATAGCTGGTCTTTGTCCTAAAGAATGAAAAGGTAGTCCCTAAAAGAATATTAATGATGACGCATTTGATATGGATTCGGTAGAAATCTGAGCGCACTTGAAAGGTGAAAATTGCATTGATCTATCAAATGATATTTTAGAATTCTATTGATATATCGGGTTTATGAGATATAGGAAAAGGAAACATTTTCCCGACAGTGTGTTTTGATTTGTTCAAATATGTTATGACTGGATGATTCATTTGGTATAAAATGATATATTCCTTTACATGAAAATTGGTCATCTCTTGATCATCTCTCTATGATTTCGAAACTTTTCCCCAACAAAATGAGCAAACCTTTGTTTAAAAAATGGAAAGAATACCCAGAGACCATACAAATTAAACTGAAAGAGTGAAGATAACGAACAGCGAAAACTCTACAAATACAAATATTTAAACAGGACATAAAACACGGACCATGGGAAATTCAAGACAGCATCCCCTGTTGACCGGTCACACCCGCCATGAGCCCTATGTATTGGTCAGGTAGATGGAACATTCCATAGTCAAATTTAGTAAAACAATTGATATGAAACACGTCACCCAAAATACGACCCATGATTAGCTTATATTTTGCTAACAAGGTTATTATAACGACCATAGAATTTACGAAATGCTGACGTTAAACGAGGTTTTGAAATCCCTGAAACATCAACTTATTTGTCAGTAGTCTGCCTCTGTTTAAAATTTCATTGTACTCAGAGCATGCTCTTGAGTATCGTATAAGTTGGGAGACGTAATCACCATATGCAGGTGATAGCGGAATATTTCTACATAAATAAGCAAAGTGGAGAATGGAAAAGCTGAAGTCATCTCGTTTGTCAAGTACAGTTTAGTTCTTAGTTGGCCCTTATATCTATAGTTAGGAAAACATCCAGATAGGGAAAAGATATGGCAGACTTTGTTGTTCACTGGGATATATCGAATTGACATATGAATGGAAGTTACAAATGCCTATGTGTTTAACCTTCCTTAAGTCTGCTTGAATAGACATTTAAACGGTGAATGATTAATTCAGATTACACAACAAATACACTCTTCTTTATAATTAAGAAAAACATCAAACCATATTTTTGTAGATGCATAGTTAATGAAAGCAGATAATCTTATTGACCTTTGGTTCCAAATTTTTGTATTGTATTTGTAATTTATTCAATTTTTTTAACATTATTTTGTGTAATTAGATATCATAAAGGAGAGGACATTGCAAGTTTTAAAAACTTGTGCCCAATCCTTTTTTAACTTCTTAACAATAAAATATGTTAAAAAAAATAATTAATCGTCAAAGATCGTCATCCGTCATCTTTAGTACATGTACCTCTTTAAGTCTTTGCGTAGTGTAAGATTCTTTATTTTAGATTTTTTAATTTTTTTTTAATTTTTGATACCTGCCTGTCTTGATTTCATTAGTTGTGGTTTGCATAAATCAAATATACACTTTAGATAAGGAATGTTTTAATTTTTTAAGCGAGTAAATATAGACAAAGTAGAATTTTGTCGCTTATGACAGAATGCTTTTTTACCTATATGATATATTTTAATTATTTTTCATTTATAAGAAACATTCAAACATTAATATCTGAATAATTCTGTTTAGAAAAAAAGAAAAAAAAAATAGCATGCATGTTTACTTACCATTATGTTTATTTATTAGAAAAATTCCAACAAGAAGATACACCGTGCTTTGTGCCATTAAATGCCTCATTAGACACAGTCAGATAGAGATACAAACATTCCTCCTGCCAGCTGTATGTTTTTACTTAATCAAAATTTTTCAAATGGGTGTTATATATTTACAAACGTATTAAATGAAACACGTTATTTAAAAAATAATAATTTCAAGTAGTATGATGCCTCACGCGATTTTCGATTTATAATTTCTTATATTGTTATCGTTAAAGGATTTCACCATCTGTTTTTCATTCGATTCACCATTGATTGCAAATGATATTTATTGGAGTTTTACAAAATATTTCACAGCAAAACCTAACCTTTAAAATCCAAACAGCTGGTGTAAGTTTCATTAATTATTAATGGCTATCAAAACTAACAATGATGTGGCGAACAGCATCCTTAAATATTTGATCAGTTGTGTGGATCAGCAACAAATAGAAAATTTACCATAACATTTCCATGTTCCGTCACAATATCCGACATGATTGACTTATGAATGGTAATCATCGAGAAGCAAAATAAAAGATGTCTTTGTCAATTGAGTACAAATAAATTATGCATGTTTTTTTTTAATGTGAGATAGTGGAGACGAAAGTTACGGTGAGACGAGAAAATATGATGTACGCCAAATTTGATTCCTTGGGGATTAATCAGTCAGGCCCGTAGCAACGGTTTGGGGTGGGGGTGGGGGGCAACTTCCCAAAAAATTCTGACAAGCAAAAACCAAAACTGACAGGCCGTTCTACGGGCCTGGCAGTAATATCGACTCGTTCGTGCTGGAAAGAGTTTTAAAAATTTTGAATGTTTTCCCTAAGGTAACACTAAATATTTCATAGATATGGTAGAATTGAGGCTCTGTGCTCCCCATGGAGTAAACAGGAATAAGTCAAGTCAAAAAGTCGTAAATATGCTACTAATCTCATGCTATCGCAGGAAATTAATGACGTCAAATATTGATCTATGATTTGGGTTATTTTTTAGAAATATATCTTCTTTGAAAGAACTCGATAAAGGAAGAAATTTGTGTTTAATATATTCTACGATCATTTCGAATTTATATGTACAAAATGAGTAACTTAAGCAATTCTTGCATTGCAAATATATTCATAATGTGTTACAGTGCTGCTGTATTCCATACTCTCAATTTTTAAAAGATCCTTCTATATAAGGCCTTTTTGCGGCCCACAATGGCTTCAAAAAAATCGGGGGGGGGGGGGGGATAAGAAGAGCCAAATGGCCATGCCCGTTTTGCGGGTATGCAAGTACGCATATCAAAAATACATACATCAATTGCTCGTATTTGCCTAGGCATTTAAATGTTTACAGTATTTGTAAAATGATGATTAGCTATATTCTAAACAAGCTGAACACGAGATCTTCATTTTCTGCCACAGGATGTCTAACATTCGTAGTGACTTCTATTCTGTAATCTGTATATTGAGTGTTAAAAAGTATTTTGGAGATATTAAACTGTTTACATTAATTGTATATAATGATACTGGCGATCTTTTGGTTTAAAAGTAAAAATAAATTAAAACCGGAATACACTTATTCCAATATTTATTATAATTTTACCCGGTATTCATTTCTTTTCCAAAGTCTACAGGTATGTCTCTTCCTCACCAATGTCAGGGAGTAACAATGGATCTGGTTTGTTCAGAATCTTCTCACAATCCTCTCTCCATCTCTTTAGTTTTGCAATTTCTTCCGTAATTGCTGAACCAACTTTTCCTTTCAAAAGCACTCTGAAGTTGATATTAAAAAGGATGTTGGAGTTCCTCATTGACAATATTTTCGAGCATGTTGTCTTCGGAAACCAGATCTTCCACCAAACAGTTTGAATTCTGATGGACAAAAAATGTGCTTCTTTTTTACCCGACTTGTTTTTATATTCCTATGAAGCAGAATTTATTCAAAAACTTCTACATGAGAAGAAAACACTTAATGTGGCCTTCACCTCGACATTCATATACATCTACGACGTTTTATCAATTTACAATAGTTACTTATAAATGGACTCGATATATCCCAGAACTCGAAATAAAAGACACATCTGTTTCATACTTGGATGTTTTACTGACTATAGATGATAAGGGCCAACTAACACTAACATCTAAATTGTATGACAAACTATGAATTCAGCTTGTCCATCGTCAACTTTTCCTTATTTATGTAGTAATATACACCTGCATAATTATGTTGTTTACGTCTCCCACCTTATTCGACACTCTAGAGCATGCTTTAAGTACGATCAATTTGTAAAACGAGGTAGGTTACAGATAGAAAAGTTGATGTTACAAGGATTTCAACATCCCCATTTAAAGTAAGCATTCCGTAAATTCTATGGTCTTTATAATGACCTTGTTAAGAAATGTAATCTATCACTGGGTCGCATTTTTGTTGACGTGTTTCATATCAATTGTTAGGCCTTTGTTTTTATACTAAATTTGACTATGGAATGTTCCGTCTACCTGATCAATACATAGGCCCATCAACAGAGAATGCTTATTCCTCCTAGGCACTGATCCCGCCTCTGGAATTTACGGGGGTCCATGTTTTACGGTCTGTTCACAAATTTGTTTTGTTAGGTGCTAGCCTCAGATCTGTCTTCAAGGTCCACATTGTATAGACAATTCCGAAGAAAAAATAAAAGCCAAATATAAGGAACATTTTAAATCTAAAACCAAACTTTGCACAGCAGATAAATAGTTCAGGTGTCACTTCATTGGTTCTTATAATATAATATAATATAATATAATATAATATAATATAATATAATATAATATAATATAATTATATCAAATAAATTTTAGTTAAAAATATCCAATTTATTCGGTAGTAATGTTGTCATACAGTATTTCACGAGCCTTTACATCTCCTTGTGGGCGACACTCTTTCTCTTTCGGGATCTTTCTGTTCTGTTATGCCAGCTCCTGCTTTCGGTCTTTAACTTTTCCTAGGATTCTGTAAAACAGAAATTCTCTAAAAATGATTGTTAGGATTAATATTACCTTTTATCATTCAATAACATCTATAAATAAATCTACACAAGAATTTATTTTCATATTCACGGTTATAGGCAAAATCACTAAGTCTGAGCCATATATCTACTCTCATCCTTGTGGAATACTAAAATAAGAGAACATTTTTAGGAGATATTGTGTTTCGGTAAATGGTATTCACCTACCTCTCCATTTTTTCAAAATTTTTCTTTTTGTTCTCAAGCATTCTCTAGGGTTGCCTCTGAAACAAAGGTTAGATCAAAGGCCAGACCACCTTTCTTTTCTGTTACTTCCTCCGTGTCGGGCGCAGTGGTTAGAGCGTCTGCTCTAGAGTCGCGGAATAAGGAGTTGATCCTTATCGCGGGTTCGAATCCACTGCGGGACGAGGAGACCGGTCCTTCGGATGAGACAGTATAGACCAAGGTCCCATGTCGCAGTAGGTGTTGGCACGAAAAAGATCCCTCACTGCTCAATGGCCCTAGGTGCCGAGTAAAGGTATAAATTTTTTGCAGCCCTCCACCGGCAAGTGGTGGCGTCTCCATATTAGTGAAAAATTCTCGAGAGAGACGTTAAACAACAAACAAACAAACAAAAACAAACAAACTTCCTCCGTTTGCATTGTGCATCGTACTTTCTCGTACGCCTCCATCTCTTCCTTCTTCACGCCTACTTTGTTATTTTTGGCAAAACAGCTCTGAAGTAGACCCATGATTATTTCAGAGCGTCAAAGACTATGGCATACAATATCTATAAAGATTTTCTTGATAATCTAATATTTTGATGTCACAGAGGATTTTTTTATTCTCCACTTTAAAGAGAACGAAAATTTTAAGCCTTGCTTCAAAATTTAAATAATAAATTTATCAATTAATTGATCTGTCAAGCTTTTTCTTTCAAGATAATAAAATACACCCTGCGAGGCATTTTGAGATTAAATATCATTTTTTATAGGACATTGCGCATTGAAATCCACTTTCAATCATGAATTTTATAACTGATGCCCTGTAGTTATGAAACATCGAAAGGTTCTTCCAGACCCGAACGAAGGGAGCAGGGTTCCCCCTTAATTTTGCCAGTGTAACTTTACTGTAAAAAAAAAAAGACTAATTTACAGCTGTACCCCAAAATAATTTGCCAGTTTATTCCATGCATATAAGAAATGAATTTAAGGTCAAGATCTAGTAAATAAAAAAGTTCCTACAGAATTCTCAAATTTGAGAAACGAATTCCTTTAATTATCCATTACAATTAAATTAAAGTTTAATAAATTAAGGTGTATCGGGACATAATTTTTAAGTTAGCTCAACTGAAAAAAACATATTTTAAACTGTCATTTTCAATGTAAAATGAAAAAATCGGGTATAAACATGGGAGTTTTCTCCATCTCAGACAAAGGAAATTTATCAATATTGCCTACAATCTCTCAGAAAACGGTTTTCCATTTCCTTTTGACCTCTTCTTTAAAATAAGATTAAATTGAATGTAGGTATCAGGGTTACTTTTGACATCTATATTTATAAATCAATAAATTTTGCAAATAAACTCAGAAACGCCTGCACCATAGTTAATCCTCTATTATTTCACTATATATGAGATGATGTTCGTAAACTATATTCAGATTTCATTCGCATACTAATTATCGGAAATTTAATATAAAAGTCTACTTTCATTTTTCGATAAACAGCCTTGAAATAGTAAAAAAGAGTGTACGGTGGTGGTTATGGTTGGCGGATCTAAGTTACTGGAAATTTTTAACGAAACTGACGACAAGCAATCGTTTAATTATTTGATAAAATGTCATTAATGAATTATTCAGTGAAAACTGGATTTAGGTTATACGGAAAAAATTAGTTATGATTACTGCATTATTAAAAAACAAAATGTACAAATCGTTTTCGCCAGTATCCGATCTTAGTTTTATACGTCTATATCTTCACACCCACACACACAACTCTATCACCGGTGGAATTAGAGGGTGTGTGACGGTACATATTGT